CACAGACAAAAGAGGGTAAAGACCTCTTTTTTAACATCCCAAAGGGCAGCACTAAACCTAGCTGGTATAAGAGGAGTGCTTTTGTCCTGCCAGTAATTTGATAATGGAACCCCATAACCTAGGGTGGCACTGGACATACTGTCATCTGTCAATCTCAAACTAAGCCACCTCCTTCTGGTGATGCCCAGGAAAGGGGAGGAAGAGAGGGAACTCTGGAGCCAATGGCTCGAGGTACTGGAGTGCCTGCACAAACCTCTTCCAGTGCGCCACTGACCTGCATAGGAAGCAAAGGAAGCCCCCATGCCAAAAATGGCAGGGAGGCACAGTGTAGGCCCCACTGGGGACCCTTGGGGCAAGAAACCAATCGATATTACCAGTGCCCACTTGTAACCCTAACCCTAACCCTGCCCTGTTGTTGCTTCTCCCTACTGCCTGCTCACCACCCTCTCTGAGTATGCAAGCAAAGGCCAGACTCCAGAGGTGAGATGTACTTGCCTTGTACTCTTCTCCTAGTCCAGCCGTTCTCAAGCTGAGTTCTGCATATCCCTAGGTTTCCACAAAAGCCTCGTAGGGGTTCCACGAAAAATCTCCAAAATCAAACTTAAAACGGACTTTAAAGTGAAACCACATGAGGTCAACTATTCAATTGTCAGTTGAGGAAAAGCATCACGTCATTTGGTTCCCGAGACTCTGTTGCGTAATGTTGGGAATAATAGAAAGAATGCATTTGGGATGTCACCATGTAATTGCTTTATTCATTCATTATATTAAAAATGTTTTCTCTTTATTCCAAACCTACTACGTTATGCAAAACACTCAGGCAATAAGAGCAGATGAAAGAAGGAAGACTGTTGTGGGTTCACACTGGTTAGTGAAAAGCAGAGACAGAGTTAAGGTGCCATGACCAAAAATGTTTGGGAACTGCTGCTCTAGCCAATTGCACAGGCTGGGCCTGGGGTGTAGGATGCACAGATGTAAAAATAACAAGAATGAGGGGGGCATACAGGAACACCCCCCCAAGCCCTCTTTCCCAAGGGCCTCTGGTTCTGCTGGACTTGCCTCTGGTTCTGCTGCTGACCCTCAAGGGATAGGTGCTGATGCACCATGTGAATGCTGCGTGTCATCTGAGACGTCTCAGGTACCAAAATGCTTTGGGCCATGCCTGCTATTCCCCGGCTCTCCTCAGCACTCCTCTGTGGGGATGGGGCCAGAAAATGGGGAAGGAAGCAAGCATGAGGCAGAGAACCACCATTTCAGCACAGAAATGCTACCGATGAACACAGCTGTGATTACAGCAAAGGGGGTGTGGAGTCTAATTGTGTATCTAGTACCTTCTGCTTCCACATAGATTAAAACATATACAAAAGGAGTGATTTCCAGACAAGAGTGCAGAAGGAACCCTGAGAGAATTGCAAAACTCCTGCCCGCTCCCCGACACACACTGTATATGGAGTATGTTGCAAAACTCCATACTGGATAGACCATTTGCTTCAGAATAATTCCTCGGGACACCTGCCTTTAAAAACTTGTTTTTCTCTCCCACATTGCTTTCTGTGTTCTTACATTAACAAATCCTCCAGATAATGCAATCATGCAAATCGTGCATCCAAATTAAGCACATTGATAGTTTCTCTATTCTGGTCACATAGCCTGGGCTTGTTGGCCAGAATAAAGAATTATTTTAAAGACAAATTCATAATCCCATGAATGGTATCAGATTACTAAATTATAAATGTGCATAAAGATTTATCAGAATGTATTATTTTGTAAAAATACTTAGACAGAGAAAAAGAGAAACACGTGAAAGCTTACAGAGGCTTAGAAAAGAATTACTAATTACAGTAATTACCAGATCTGATTCTGATGACAAAGAACACACTTTGAAAATAAACTGAAGGGTTTAAAAAAAAAAAAAAAACCTGGAGGATTTTCATTGATTACATGAAACATTACCAACCAATACATCAGATAGTGAAAAGCAATAAATAAAATCAATTCATGATTAATTAACTGACCAGTAATATTTAAGAGAGAGCAATATGCAAGTAAAAGAGCCTTTGGCTATTGGGTGGTATAGAAATGAAATAAATATTTACATTTAAGGTGCAATCCTGTGTATTTTTAGATAGAAAAAAGTCCTGCAACTCCCAGCATGCCCTGCCTGTTAAAAAGGGAAAGGGAGGATAAGAGGGCAGAAAAGGACACGCCTAGAACTAAAGGACTGTAGCCACACTCAGAGAGAGGAACACTCCAAACATGGTGAAGAAACCTCTAAAAATTAAAACAAGGTGACACTTTTCATGGTTTTCATTTCCAGAAACCAACATCTGCTAACTGCATTTTACTGGGATGGATGTTTGAGCAGGGATCTACATAATAATGGGTATTATTTATTTAATTTATCACCATTAAATTGCTTTACTGCCCATCTGCTGAAGCTCTCTGAGAAGTCCACACAACAAGCTTAAAACCATACAATGCAGTAAGGACATAATCCTGCACTGGCTGGGGTGGGATGGGAGTTGTATGGCCGTTTCCCATCGAAACATACTGCAAAACTATGTACTGTAAGCCGCCTAGAAAGGCCTCAGCAGTTATAGGCAGCCTATAAATACATGTATAAATAAATAAAAGTGAAAAAACTGCTAATTTCTCTAGCAAAAAACCACAAAATTCTCCAGAGTCTTTGTGCCCACTGAGAGACAAAACACATGAGTGAAGCTGGCTAGTACAGAGACAAAAAGTGTGGTGTCCCCAGACAGAGCATGCAGTTTCCAGGAGGTATTTCCAATTTTTCCCTCCTGATTTTCCACTTTTCTGGGGATCCTGCTCCCCAAACCCCCATGAATGTGCAGAACCAATGGTCAGCCCAGGTTAAGTGAATCCATGGTAACTGAGAGAACAGATACTGGGGTCCTGCTGTATATAAAATCATTAAGTTGAAAACAGAATAAAATCAAAATATGAACCAAGATAAAAGCCCACAGTAGTGCAAAACTCTAAAATCCCATTAACACATTTGTTCTAAAACCAAAGGACTAAATAAGGAGGAATAACTAACAAATCTATTTCTGGCACTTTAAAGATCACAACACAGGCACCAGACAAGCCTCGCCAGTCAATTCTTGGTATGCCTGTGTGTAGGTACATGGTTAGCTTACTGCAGCCACAGAGGATTTCCAATGTAATCCAAAAAGCAGCACTGCAGAAGAGGATATTAGCCTGCTCTTCCCACCCCCAATTTCCCAATTTAAATCATCCAAAGCCGCTGCTAGTCCTTTGAGAGACTAGAAACCCTTGCAAGGCTAACAGGTGTTTCAGTACAGCATAATGTTGGACTGGGACTTAGGAGATCTTGGTTCTGGTCTCTCTGCAGTCAGGCAGCTCACTGGGTAACTTTGGATCAGTCACGGCACAGGCTCAGCCTAACCTACTTCACAGGGTTGTTAGTGTGCGGAACAAAATGGTGTGAAGAACCTTGTAAGCCCCCTTCAGTTCCTTGCAAGAGGAAGACAAGTAATGTACTACTACTACTACTACTACTACTACTACTAGTAATAATAATAATTTGAGGACATGATTTAGATTGAGAAAACAGTGCAGGAAGAATGTTTTAGACAGATACTCCAGCCCAGCATCACTTTTCCTAGCCTCCTATGGCTACTTTAAATAAAACACAAAACACGGCAAGAGAAGATCCTAATCTCCCACATAAATGAATGTAAATAAATGAAGCCTCAACCTCGGCCTTTCCAGGCACTGGCACTGCCTTGCAAATAGGTTTACAAAACCTGCTGGCGCACACCTGTGTAATTCTATTTAGAGCCCAAAAAGGCCAAATCCATTTCTAAGGCTTCCCTCCCTGGAGTCATCTGATTACCTTTGGCAGATCAACATCTCAGGACTGATTTGAATGAAGCGCTGGGTGTGAGCAAAAAAGGTGCTGAGGTGACAGGATTGCACATGCCCAGTCAGGCTGCCTCACCTCTGTGCACCACAATAGCACCTTGGAAAGGTAAAGTCCAGGCACACAACATGTTTGTGCGCTAACATTTTGCACAGAGCAGCCAAGGTCCTAGTTAAGTTTAACACATTTTTAAACTGCCCTTTAACAGAGTTATTTTCAAAGCAGCTTACACATTTAAAAAATCACCCATAAAAGCAGACTGAACTTCACAAAATCATGAACACAGAAAAAAAATTATCTTGACAAGCAGCAGAATAAGCAGCTCTGAAATGACACACTAGTTCCATGTAATGCCAGTTAAAGTGAGCTTTGAGAAATGAAGCACTAGTTGGACATAATGCAAAGTCAGGCAAATTGAAACCTCCATCATCCACTAGGAGCACTTCCTTAAGAGGTATCCTATGTGCCAGGGTTGGGCAATGTGTCATCCACAGGTCTCATGCAGGCCCCACCATGCTTTTTCTCCTTCAAAATTTAAACAGGAAAAACTGCTCACACAGCAACAAAAAGATCAAATTTAACTAGTCTGCAAGCTACATTTAACTCCTTTTAAGGCTTCACAGCAAAAATCCCCCCCAAATATCCTTAAATTACTCACCCCTGCTACATACTAATAGCAAACTCATTAACCAAATGTGGATCTTTATGGAGCCCAAAAAGCACCATCAATGCACACGAGGGAGGTATCAAACGGCATGGAGGGATGTCAAAATTTGCAGGAGTACAAAAAACAGGAGCAAACTCCTCAAAACAGCCTAATGATGACTGAGCATGCTCACTGGGCACAGAATACTAACGCTGGGGGATGGCAATAGAAGAATGGGGCAAGGAGAAAGAATGGAATACGTCAGCGGGAGACGTGGCTGGGTGGCTGGCATTCTACACATACACTCTGTGTTGCGACTTTTTGATGCAGGTTCCAATTATTTCTACAGAAACAGAGGCCACCCTCCCAAATGCTCCGAGCACAAACACAGAAAGATCTGTGTTCTTCCTCAAGCCTTCCACAACCCCGGCGTGAATTGCCACCCACCTTTCTCAACAGCCGAGACACCCATGGAGGCTTGGGCCAGGTCCGCTTTCTTCTCCCACTTGCCCTCATCTGCGTGGTACATTTCAACCGAGGTCAGAGGACACTGTTTGGAGTCCACCCCTCCGATCACCAGCACATCCTTGCCAAGCATCACTGCCGCAGCTCCTGCCCGTGGGGTGGGCATAGGGGGCAGCGCCGCCCACTTGCAAGAAACAAGATCCAGCATCTCCACCGTGTCCAGGGGCTGGCCCTGCTGGCTGCATCCACCTGCCACAAAGAGATGTCCGTCCTGGTAGGTTGGGCTGCAGTACACCCGACAGGTAGGCATAGGGGGGAAACACTCCCAGAAGAAGGATTTGGGATTGGCAGCTTCCATTTTGCCTGGCTGCCTGGCATCTCAGGAGGCAGACATGGCCACGGCGCACACACCAACTTGCCACCTCAATGTGGCAGCTTTCCACACAGCATCCTGGAGATCTGCTCGGGCTGGTCTGAGGCAGATCGGCGGCTTTACTTCCTGTGACACTGGAACTCCACATCCACAAGGCATTAGTAGATTGGAAAGTAGATATGGCTGCAAGGAGAGTCCAGGGTTCCCCAAGGGGGCAGACCAGGAGCGCCGTGGTGCCCAAGAGGTGTGGCCTCCTGAGGGAGGGGAACCATTCCTATCCTGAATGGCTGGGGATGTGCCAAAGAGATGCCACGTACACTCAGGCCGGGCATAGGATTCTGGGGGCAGGCATGAAAGATCAGTAGGCCAACCAGTCTCAGAAAGTGGCACTCCTTCAGCAAGTTGTCTTCCGATCGTGGTGTCTCTTGGACCTTTGTACTGACGGCAAGACCTGCAGCAGCCTCCAAAGGAGAGACAGAAGGGGAGGAGGGAAAGGGAGGCACAATGTTACTAAGGATTGTCATGGGAGCCATTTTGAGAAACTGGGCCTTGCTGGATCACATAGAGAGTCTCCTAACAGGTTACCCACAATTATTTCTTGTTATTCTTTGTGTTTAAGCATTCAGCCCAGCAGTGACATCCACATTCCTGGAATCTCACCTGAATTGATCATAGCCAAGATTAGCTCTGCTCCACCCATAAACCAAAGCAGAAACATGCGTTCCCTAAGCACCATTTGTTCTTCCAAGGCCTCTCTCAGAAACACCTTATCCTTTCTTAATGAACTAGACAGCATGGTGCCTCCCTGTGGAAAGCTTGATTCTAGCCCAGTTGTTGCACTGGCATGATCAAGCAACCTAGACCAGCTACCTTTCTCTCTGTCGCAGAGGTGCAGAACTTCTTTCAACCCCACAGCCAAATTCAATTGTAGAGAAGGTCATGGGGTCTGCCTTCGGTTGGTGTATGGGCCCTGAAGCAAACAAGGATGGGGCCAAAATACCAAAAATATCAGTTGGTTTTAGCTGATAACTCTTACTGCCAATAACTAAGATTTTGGAAAAGTCATTCAAGCTTTGGGTGGGGTGGGGGGGAGACAGAAGCCAGGAAACCACCAAATAATTCGTGGAAAGGCAGTGGTCTGCTCAGATGCCCCAAAGGCTGAAGTTGACTCCTGGGACTAAGCTACAGCCCTCTACACCCGTTTTTGTATATAAAATCAGGGTGGTTACTGTGGTACGAGAGCAGGTTCCCCCTCCTGATTGTTAATCTGCAGAGGAACCTCTCCAATCTGTACTTCTGAGTGCAGAACAAATGCAGCAGTACTTCTGTATTAACTAATCTAAACTCTTTAGAATTATGTGCCTCAACCAAGGCAAAAATAAAGCCAAAGATGGGCTTGGAACAAGGGAGTTGTTTCATCATCATCATTCCTGGAAGCTCCCAGTAACCTTAGCAGCAGCTGCTGGATAAGCCTGGCCTACTGTCTCCAGAGAGCAGCAGTGACTACCTGCATCCACAGGTCATCAGCACTGCTCCGTCGCAGGATGACCCTCCTTGTCAAACGAATCACAGGCACCCCAAGAGAACACAACAGGCCCATCTGGTACATACAGATTTGGGTGGAAAGACAACACACACTGCAGAGAGGGAGACTTAAGTAAATGTGAAAGGTGCCTGCTGGGATGCAGACAGCTTCAAAACACATTTCCTGGAAAATTACAACAGTGAGGTCACCAGAGGATAAGAGAATCAGGATGTATTGAATTTATTCTGACCAGAGCTTCCATAGCCCATTTCAATAGATCTCAGAGGCATCACAGAAAGTTTCACATTTTTAGGTAATTTGAATGGGAAGGAGGGGTGAAAGGTAAACAGTCAATTGTCAATAGTTTCCTCTTGTAAATCATTGTACTTTATATAAACCTGAACCTCTCAATATTAGTTTGACACTATCATTATTATTTCCATGTCTGTATCACCTGACAGTTAAAGCTCTGCAGGCAGTTATTATGAAACAGATTTGCATTCTGTTGACCATATTTAAAAATATCTCTAAGCAGTAATATAATGCTCCTTGCATCTGAAGAAATGGGTCACACTCCACAGAAGCTTATGTTAGGGTACATTAGTTAAGTCTCTGAAGTACCACAAGACTCATTGTTAGTTATTTTTGCAAGAGACCAACACAAACTACCAGGATGTGGCAAGAATAGCTGCAAAAGCTGGAAGGAGAGACCAGCCAAAGGCTCCTGCTTTCTTCTGAGCATTATAGCCCTAACTCAGGAAAGTAACAAGGGTGTAATCCCATGTCTAAACAGGCAAAGAATTGCACCATTAATGACAAGCAGCTAAATTTTCAAGAGACAGCTTTTTCTTTTCCCCTCTGTATTATTCCATCACTCAAACACAGCAGTTGTCATGTGTGCCATCAGTCTTGAAAGTGTTTCACTCAGGTCAATAATCAGATAATAGTGAACTGATCCTAGTGAAATGCCCAGGACCCTTCACTGATCACCCTTTTAAGAACACCGTTCTTTTACATGCAGGTTCCTTCAAATATAAGAAGCACAGGAATCCGTGTTATTCCATGAGCAACCCCAGATACCAAAATCCACAACTAGGCAATAGCGTAAGTAGTAGCAAATAAAATGTCACAAAAGAGTGTGCAAGCTTTTGAGTTCTCCAGAACTCTTCATCAGGATAGGACAGCATTATAGAAAGCAAAGCGATACTGCCACCTCCTGACAGTTCAGAAGTAACCATACTCTGCCTGGGTTCTGACAACATGATAACCCACTCAATGAGTCATAGCTTGTTAATCACAAACAACTCATGACTTGATGTTGGGTTGTTCATCATGGCTTGTTGCCTCAGCTTGGGTCAGACAATATGATAACACATGCTTCAATGACAACCCATACTCAACCCTTATCATGGGGTTATCATGCTGTCTGAACCTAGTAAACTGTGCGCCAATGCATTTTCATGCTTTTCAGCTGTGATGCAGTTTGAAAAAAGCCACACAGACTACAAGAGTGCACATTTGCAGGATGTGGTTTATGGTACTAAAGAGGCTAGAAATTGCTGCTGAAGGAGTCTTCATAGGTTCAACACGCACCTTCAGTACGGACTCCAGGTATCAGGCAGGCTCCCCAGCTACATTTAATGGGCAGCTCTGGAGCCTCAGCTCTGGTGCCAGCATGGAGGACTGATCCCTTCTTGTCTGCACTGTGCTTCACCCAGAGCTTATAATTTGCAGCCAGCCCTCGGAGTACGATAAATCCCCCATTTTTAAATCTTGTGGAGGACTCCACAGCTCATTTATCTTCCTCCTCACAAAATGAGGTATTTTAGTATCTTAATAGCTGAGAGCTGCATAATTTAGCAACGCAGGCATGAAATATTGATAACCAGTCCCCAGATCCGGAATAGCTTTGGCCCCTGGGGGCTTTCCAGTGCTCTTAGGAGATGGAGAGCAGGAACTATTTTTTTCCTTCCCTCTTCAGGGCCTGAGGGACCTGGCTCCTGAGGCTAGCAGGAAAAGCAGAAGTTTAATCTGTAAGCAAAGTGGCATTCCTAGTGTATAAGAACAGAGCAGCCCCAATAGCGCACGGACTGCAGTTTGGTCCCAGATGCGCCATGGTTGCAGCATGCAATTTGTGAAAAATTACGAGCTCAGTGTGCTGGGGGGGGGTGTGTGTGGGGCTAGAGAACCTTGAGCCAGAGGGCCAAAAACTAGTTGAGGGAACAAATTCTATGCATATTTAGTCAGGAAAAAAATCCTGCAACTACCAGTATGCCCCAGCCAGAATTTCTACTGTCTGAACATGCATAGGAATGTGTTCTAAAGGATCCTTTGAAAGGACCTGTAAAAATTAAGGAAAGGAATACAGCAGTGATGCAAAACCTCAGCCCCAGTCCCAAATCTGGCCTTCCAGGTTTCTCCGCATGTCTGCTTGTTCCCTTCCTCTGTCCCCTTTCTACCTGACCACCAGTTGTTTGTTGTTTCCCAGCTTTTTTTTTATTTATTAGATTAGATTTTGTGCTGTTTTGTGCATTTTTTTGCATTCTGAAAGGATAGAAAACGTTTCCTAAGTTTTCATTATTGACAGTAAAACTGTTTCAAAACATGCTGGCCTTTTGATCCTGCCCTTTGGCCTTTTGACCTGCCTTCCATTGGAAGGCAGCCCAGAAAGCTTCTCCAAATCGGGAACTGACCACTGGGCTGGAAAAAGTCACATACCCCTGAAATACCAGACTAGTATTAGAATCGTAGTTAGCCATATACAGAGAAAACATAGATGAGGGTATTCTGCTCTACTGGATTTTGCTGTGCTGAGGGCTGAAGAAGCACTTGCTGTGAAGGAGAACATGCACTTTCAATGGCATCAATTTTATTTCTTTCTGCAACCATGATGGTTTACCATTCAAACACCCACCCATCTGCTGTTCCCATGAGCAGCCCAGCTAGATAGACCAGCCACCCATTTCCCACAGTGGCCCACCAGGTAGCAGTGTAAGATGCCCAGAAGGATCAGGTGGTCGCTGTGGAAAAACAGGGCACTCAAGCAGAGCAATGGTCTGATTCGGTGGGGTTCTTCTAAGCTACAAAAATGAGCATAACAGTAGGCAGAATAAATAAGAAACCTCTAAATTACCTGGGCAGTGATTGGGTGGAAGAGATGGGTACTTTGGGTTCCCCTGAAAAAGTCTACTGTACTTTAAAATGAGGTCAACCTATAAAGACAAAAAGAGCAGGAGCAGTTTTCTAAGTGTTGTTTGGAAATACATGCACCTACAGACAGTTCTGGTGATCAGAAGGGGAGATGAGGGACAGAAAGATGATCCAACAAAGCAGCCCATGCTTTGCAAATGTTAGCTCCCATTTCATTCATTCATTCATTCATTCAGAAAAGAGCTAGGTCAGCCCTTCTGATGTGAATTTCTTAGGTGTTCAAATGTTCTAACTAGTATTGAAACAATAAATCAGGGGAAATAAATTCACATGTGACCTTTGCGCATGCAAACATTCTGATACATGTGCAAACATTCAGATTAATATTTGATACTGTCCACCTTGCCAAAGATGGCTTAAATAGCCTTCAAGCAAGCAAGCAAGCAAGCAAGCAAGCAAGCAAGCAAGCAAGCAAGCAAGCAACTTGCTACAAGAAAGAACTGAGCTTGCAGCAACAGTGCTCGACAGTTTCCAGCTTTACACTTCAGGCCTGTGGGGGGAACTTGGCAGGTGAAACCACAGAGTGAAAAGACTGTGGATCATGTCCTTCATGCAGCTACTATGCCATTGCAAGCTCATGGAACCACTAGAGAACAAACGGGAAGCCACTGTCCAGAGAAAGTGTCAGATCCCACTTTTCCATGAATTGAATGCAGAGGCTTTGACCGCATTGCTAGCACAGCTTACTCAGCAATCTTGAGCTCTAGCTCCCACTG